TTCATACTGTGTGGCAACTGTGGGTAATGTACCTAACACTGCTATTTAGTCACGTAGCCATTTGCTAGCAAGGAAAACGAGGGATTCACGTGTTCACTACGCTATTTAGATAAAATACATGTGATTTTATTGTAGTTGTGTAGGCATCCGGTATACTTACACAACTAATGATCTGGAAGTAACATGTTCTCGTGCTTAATTTTAACAGTTGCCTCGATTTTTTAACAGTTAATAATATGCATATTTATTATTCGAATAATAAAATCATTAGTGCCACTCCTAGAATTGTTTTGAACGTTCAAGGGTCACGTTATTCATTCATATAAATGTTATTCGAGGTATTGCTAAATGCATATTTTATGTCCAAGTTTACGAGTCGTGTGTTACCGCGTTACCGCCCAACGACTGCACTTCCCATGTAGCCGCAATAAATAAAGATGTGTGCGGAAGATTGCAAATCGTATCTAAACTAACTTTTATTACGAATGCGCAGCATTGTAATTCAACGGCTTCATTGAAGTTTTATGAGCTTACGAAGAAGGCATCACAAATGTGGCGGTGGTCGTGACTTCACTTCCTGATTCTGAAAGGTAGCATTATGGCAATGAGAAATGATCGGCGTATCGAGTAGCCTTACTTAATGGGCCGGGCTTTGGATTGATTATTCTTTTGTTTAGCCATTGTATTATGCAAATTTTCGGAATAGGTACGTGGGCAGGTTGTATGAATTAGAAGGAACTGTAGTTCGATAAAAATTGAATATTAAATGTCAGTTATCGACATTAGTCATGAAAGCGACTAGGTAAGCTGCCACTTAGTATAGTGAAACACGATTTGATAATAAATTGTTTACCTTAGGGCCTTTCACACCCAATTAGAAACTAATTTGTCTTCCCCATTTTGTCATAACTTTTAAATTTGTTAAATAATTGATCTTCAATTCTAGCTCACACCAGAGGACGAGGAGCGTAGGCGGCGTAGAAGAGAACGAAATAAGATAGCTGCAACAAAATGTCGGATGAAGAAACGAGAGAGGACGGTCAACCTGGTCACCGAGAGCGAGGTGTTGGAGAATCAGAACATAGACCTTAAGGCCCAACTTAAGGTAGGGAAAAATCTATAAAAAGTTTAATGAATTGACTAAATTTCTTATTTGTTTTGTTTAAAGAGTTAATTGCTTCTTTGGGAAAATAACTAATTAACTACGTTTTTCGAGAACCACACAAATTGAAATATAATTTTAAGACCCATTTCACCTCACAGATATCTTTGAATACAACTTATGACGCTCGTAGACGATAACAAATAGGAGTCAACCACTTATTAGAGTTAATGTAGAGTCGACAGAAAACACGATAAGAACGCACATATCGGCTTTAAAAATAAAGTTTTGATAAATATTTTTTACTTTTTTGCAGGACTTGGAAGTTCAAAAGCGTCGGTTGATGGATATGTTGACGATCCACGCAGCGTCGTGCGTGAAGTCAAATAATTCCAACACGAGGCAGTCTCCAACAACGCCGTACAACATGATCGGCCCCTACGACTCACCGACAACATTCCCAGTGTCGTTCGACGCGCACTCGCCCTACATCCGACCAGAGTCGGCCAATATACTCACGTCCAGCTATACATGTGTCACCCCACTCAATGGGGACTCATCTATCGACACCATATCGTCCTTAGATACCATCTACGTAGCGCCTCAGCTGACAGACCCTGAATACAATCGACCCGACAGTGTTCTTAGTCTGCCTCCAGCTTCGGAACGCAGTTATGTCACCACAGACGGCTACCTCCCCAAGTCTACGAATCTTCTCGTCCCGATCGACTCGGAACAGGATTATTACGATCCTGAGGCGAATTACAACCTGGGGAACCAGCAGTGCCACACATACCCTAATACGATCCCCGAAGCGTCAAGCAAACTCAATAACGGCCTTAATGATGGATGCCTCGTGTAGTTAGGATCATCCACTTTGTCAGTAACCATTTTTTGTCGGGTCCAAATTTATTTTCGACATGTATACGTATAATTTAAGCATTGGAGTTATTAAAATTCGAAATAGAGTGTCACCGTTTATAATAATTCCACACGATCTTCCAGACATAGCTTATATCTACAATCTACATGTTACATAAACGCTTTCTCTTTTGAATTTTTGTTACATAAAAACTTATTTTTCAATTCGGTGGCAAGTTTTTTGAGAATTATTTTTGTAATGTACGAATTATCAGAATAACCATTAAAATGTTAGATATACATCTACTTCCGTCAAATCACTTTTGTAATAACTATACACAACAGTTGTGATAAAACATTAAAAACCTTTTTATATTTCATAATAAAGCTTCATAAAGTGCCAGAAAAACGACAAAGGGCGGGGAAATTTATTTCGAAACGAAATCATATGTCTACTGTGTAGAACAACAACGTAGAGATAGTTTGGTGCCTGTATAACGTAGCTAGTATGTATGAATAAGAGATGGAGTGACATTTAGAGTCCAGAACGAACATGAACTATGAAAACATTATCTAATAGAAGAAAACACAAATTTTACCATTCTACAGCACATCAAAAAGCAAAAACAATATTCAAATTAAACGTTACTTTTCTTTTAAGTGTTGTGAACTAGAACTCCCAATTCGATTGTAATTATGACTACGTTAACACGAAGCAATAACTGTGTAACAGTTATTTAGGTAGGTATTTCACATAATATTTTATTTTATCTAAGTGTCTAATTCTAACAATTACCATTCGTTTTAATTTTTTTAAGTTCTATGATTTTGCTTTGATCTGTTTAAAATATTTGTTTATTAAGATCTGATTTAGACGGTGCAATGTTGAAAACGTTTTAGTATTACCATTGGTGTCTAGTCTACATCGGTAACTCGAAAATATGAATGAATGAAAGTCCCAGATACATCACAATACATAGCCTTTAACTTCCAGTACAATGATAGATATAGTAATACAGTACCTCCTGTTAAATTTCCAAAATTATATATTTTTTGTTACAGAAGTATATTCACAGATTATAATGAGATATGATATATTCCACATATACATGTGTTACAATTCGTGTAAGGTAATATTAGTTTTAAGGTGCTTTAACTCAGAGTAACTCGTGATATACCTAATATTATTGTAAAGTGCAACAAGCGTTACTTGTTACGAACGATAATCAATTAATTTTAAGAACTTGACATTTCTATAATTAAGATTGTACACGTAACGAATTGTATGTGCACACAAAGCAACATGACGAATTCGACCATTTGTCACTTGTCATTGTCATGCGACTAAAAACCTTATTGTATATTACACAAAGACAAAATTAATAAAAAATAATACGTGGCATATGACTTTGACGAATGGACTAAATGTATTTTAACGTACGTAAGTCGCTTGAAGTGTTCACAAAAACACCATTGTAAAGTGCCTCTGTATATTAATTTCGGTCTAAAGCCATTTTGTTTTCTGTTGATATTTTTATATGGAGTTAGTAATTTACTGTAAGTACTGAGTAGATGTTTGGGCGGAAAGCTGAAAATGGAAAATTATCCTTGTGACTTTGGAAATAGGCGTGGTTGTTTATGTTGCGCAATAACTGGAGTTGTACTGTTGCGCAACATGATATTATCGCGAATATTCCAAGCGAGTGTGTTGTGAAGCCCAGACAGTGATGCAGACCTATACAAAGACAGTGCCTTCTGCATACCAGTGATCCTAGTCCATGTGGCTGCTTTACTGAGCAGTCAGTCGCGCGAGCATTTATTTTTATATTGTTGGTAATATTGTGATAGCAAGAAAAAATATATTTATTAACACAGAGCACAATTCGAACTAAACGTTCATTGTTATATCTTGTCTAACAAGAAGTTCAAGTCTCCATGGTAGTTTCTAGAAAGGCCGTTATATGGGAAACGTAATGTACTTCCCTTAGATATGTAGTTTTCTCTTCTTCATTATATTTGGTCAATGTTTATGAATTTTGATTGTTTGTAGTATTTATTCGCTTTTGTAGTGTGATGGTACCGTCGTAGTAATCTTGTCTATAAGATTAACTTTAGAAGGTATAGTTTAGTGTTTCCGGAAGGTCTATTCGTAGTCACGTTGGAGTTGGTCAGTAATTTATTACATCTCGGACCGAGAATGGTTCCTATCACCAAAATAATGATGACTTTATACAAAACATCAATATTGAAACCAGTTTCCTACGTAGGTATCAAATATCGTCTATAAAATTTTGCTAATGACTGAATAATTAGTTGTATTACCATTACTGGTTCCATTCTCTTCCGCTGCATGTAATAATGTTATTTGATCAACGTGTGACGTCATCTTCTATTTAATTTATCTGTGTATCTCTGCTGGCCCTCGCGGACAGTTGTGATAGTACATTACTATTGCATAACATTCGGTTGTAAGTTATATGACGACTAGTATTACATTTGTTTAACGATTTATTGTTGTTACAAAATAAGATTTATCTTTATAATTTATATATGAGTATTCGAATCAATTTTATAATAATATGTTGTTATATCTTGCTATTTAAGTCTGCTACGTACTAATGCTTTGATATTCGAGTCTATTTAAATTTTTTCTATACATTTACAAAATAATTTCAACACTCATAATCATTCGTTAAAAATAAAAATTTAATTAAGTCACAAAGTGATTAACATGTAATCATATTGTACCATAATCATGTAAGAACAGTTGTTTGTTATAATATCAAAAAAATAATAATTCGTATTAGGTTTTGTAAGTGTTGTAAACATCACTTGTACCTGCTTCATAAATATAAATATTTTGACAGTCAAAGCAAAATTATTGCGCTTATATATTGAAGAATAAATCATTATATTGCATACAAATATGTTTAATTTTCTTATATAATAAACCAAGCATCCTTTTCCCACTTCCTTGTAGGTACCTTACTTGAACTAATAATTATTAAGGAATATTGCTTAGCAATGAAACAAGGAATAATCAAAAACTGATATTATTTAATATCACAATAAGGACTTACATATCGCAATGTATTGAATATCTTACGTGGCTAGTGTAGCGAGCATTACTGAACAGAATTTCAATCATACAACACAATCTCACAAATTATTAAGAAATGAACCGGTCTTGATTGAGACTAGAAATTATTATCTAGGTATAATGCTTGCAGTTCTCAAAAAGTGCAACTTTAAGGAATGGATAAACTAGAACAAACATTATAAAACTTCTCTTTATACGATGTAGAAGAGGTTTCTAAAGTAACATTAATCACGAAACCAGTTACTAAGAATTAAAGGGGAATTTACACCAAAAAGGCTAAAAAACCAAATATCCGACGCACAATCATTTGGCTTCCAATTTTAAAAGTAATAAAATTAGTTGGTGGTACCAACATCTCAATTTTCAAATTTGGAAACAAAAATAAAGGTACAACATTGAGATTAGGCCAATTTAAAGGCAAACATTTGATTAAAATTCTCGAATATAAGACTAAAACCATTCGTAGCAAAAAAAACCTAACAATCCCCATATACAGGGGATTTACAACTCGCTAAAAGAAATAAGCTACTCTATTATGAACGAGGTAGAATACACAATACTTCAATACATTTGTACTACTACACTAACCATACATATCTAATAATACACTTTTTGAGAAATGCTACATTAAAACTATTTTACTATGTATAGACTACCGTTAAGACAGTTGAATAAGTTGTTACCGTTGACGGATGAACTTCCAAACAGCATCGGTGCCACCAACTACCTATAATTTCAAAAAAAGTTCGTTAGAAAACCGTTGCGTTTGAAAATTTTAATGGCGCCCTCGTAGTGTTGTAGCAAGACATTCACAATACAAACAGTGTAATGGGATTGTTACGGAATTGTTACGTAAAGACTAGAATATTCTTAAAGACTATAAATACTCTAGAATTCAGCACTATGAGAATTTAAGTGATGTGACTAAGATGAATTTATATTGTAGTGTTTGTAGTAATAATATCGTGAATCTCATTGGTGACAGTAACTGGTATTAAAAAAGGCTTCTCAATATATTTTTTTCGGAAACGCGCAAACTTTTTGATGGGTATGAGAGTTAATAGGTGTTTAGTAATCAAGATACTGTGTATGAGAATTAGTGTAACATTTAAGCTTAGACTTGTTCCAAGTGAGTGGCGAATTTCGTGCTTTTGATATATGGATAATGCAGTGCATCTGCTGAAATAGTGTTGCATATTGCCTTAGTAATATACAAATCAGCGATTTTATAAGAGTATAAAAATATTTTAAAAGTGAGTTTTAGGTATGAAATCATCTGCTGTTGGAATCAAAACTGATTAGCGAGGTAGGGACATAAGAGCTAGTAATATGCCATAAAATCTATGCACTAGAACTGATTTTTTAGAAGACCCAATTTTAAAGGTAAACTAGTAACGCCCACCCTTTCTAGTCCTTTTTCAAAAACAACGAATCATTTGATAGTAACCGAAAATCAAAGTTTGGCTACATCTGTCAATATTTTTCCGATACCAATCCCATTCGGAGAATGTTCTTATATTTAAGAATTGTAATGATGTGTAAAGCAAGTGTTGCACCAGTGTTAATGAGTGCCCGCTAAAGCGTTGTATTTACATTGAAGGCTATATAGACTTAAATTATTATGAGGTTTTTTTTAAAAGTGATCAAACCAAGACGGATAGTCCCCATTCCGCACGTAAGAAGCTAAACCAATGGATGTGTTCATGTAACTTAAGAATAACCCTATTTTGGAACTGTGTAGGTTTTCCATGGGATAAACCGGTAAACAAGCAGATGGATAACCTGATGGTATGCCATGGGTCACGTTTCTCCGCCGAAGTTTCGCCATGCCACCACTCCCAGAGACCACCTCATAAACGCCTTCCTCGAGTTTGTCGCAGTAATAGAGGCAACAAAACAAGTTAACTTGCGAACTTGCAAAACGATCCTGCAGGCATATCTGCAGGGTAACGAGCTGTTACTGAATGATAGACTCGAGGCTGCGGAGGCGGTCATATACGACAACAGTAAATCGAGAGTATTGAGAGGAGCTTCTATAAGTCGTAGTATGGCAGCTTACAACGCCACCGCAGGATTTGTGTCTCTGGATGAGAAGGAATCGGATAAACGGGGAGTTGTGAAATTTAAAACTCCTCCTGAAGACTCCTTAGTGGTAGTTGCCGGGTGCACCAGGATTATGTTGGAGGATCGGATCTTGGAAATGGTGGGATCCATTTCGGAGCCTGGGCCGGGCGGCGTGGACTTTGGGGGCTGGGATGCCCCGACATTTCACTGGACAAATGGAGTGCCGGGATGCGGCAAAACTACATGGATAATAAATGAATTCGAAGCGGAAAGGGATTTAATCGTCACCACAACAACTGAAGCAGCAAATGACCTCAGAGGCAAACTATCCTGCCGAATCGGAGGATTAGTCAAATCCAAAGTCCGAACAATGGCATCCATTTTAGTGAACGGATTAAAAGAGCAAGAGAGCTGCCACCGAATCATGGTTGATGAGGCTCTCATGAATCACTTTGGGGCCATTGTGATGGCGGCCCGAATAACTCGGGCCAAGGAAGTTCTGCTGATTGGTGACATAAATCAACTTCCCTTCATTGACCGAGACAACCTCTTCCCCCTCATTTACAACCGCCCTACGCACGTCGCGGCTATTAGCCAAGAACTTCTCTGCACTCACAGAAACCCTATGGATGTGGCATATGCTCTCAGTACTGTGTACAGTGGCATATATTCGTCCGCGTCGGGTGTGAGATCCCTTGAGTTAAAAAGCTTCTCAGGGTCGCGAATACCCAAATCTCCTCCGAACACGTTATACCTGGTACACACTCAGGTAGAAAAGGAATCCCTTAAAAACCAGGGATACGGATCGGGTGTGGGATCACGCGTACTCACAATACACGAGGCTCAGGGGCTTTCGTACGCGGCAGTGGTTGTTGTGAATACAGCGGAGAAGAAACAGCGGATACACGACAGTGTATCGCACGCCGTGGTAGCTATATCCCGTCACACAAACAGCTGTGTTTACTACACGAATATCAGTGACGACGCGATCAGCAAATTAATCAGACGAGCGGTGGGTGAGAGTGAGCGGGGGATCCTGGACTATAACTTGAAAATGGCTATCAGCAACAGGGACATGGCGGTAGTGGGCGCTCTTTTGGGTGGGGAGGGCTCGCTGTAAGCTTAAATTGTGATGCAAGCGTGACATTAATATACCTCTATATTTGTGTGTGTTTAATAATGTTAAAATGTAGTAAATATAATGTAACGTAATGTAAATTTTATCAATAAGACTGACAAAATCCATTGGCACTACTGGAATCGGCTTACTGCTGCGTGAGCAGACGTCATGCATTCTTAAATGTTCTACAGTCGGTGGCGCTGTGGACTGGGTCGCTCCGTTCCCTACGAAATGGTTGATCGGATCGATTGCTGGCCCTCACGTCATGCTCGTGAACGGGCGCCTTCTGCTGGAGCAGGTCGGCTCGCTCATCGCGCGTGTGGGCCGATCCAGTAAGGTTAATGTAAATGTAATAAAACATGTATTGTGTATATATAAATATTAGATTTAGACACAACCTTCTTTGTGAAAAAAAAAAAAAAAAAAATGTGGTTAATGTAGCACGTAAGATTTTTATAACAAGTAATTTTGACTGTAAATTAAATGTAATGGAATGACAAGGGCACGGACAAGAGTCCGTGGAGAATAAGAAATGTAAGATTTAAAAAAAAAAAAAAAAAAACCTGATGGTAAGCAATTGGTGCCGCCCATGGACACCCGAAACACCAAAGGTGTCACAAATGTGTTACCGGCCTTTTGGGGATTAGAAATTTAAGGATTGTTGAAGATTCGGGAATTGGAGAGATTTGGGAGTGGGGTAATTTTGTCTCCGATAACCTCACTCACACGATACACAACAACGCAAGTGTTGTTTCATGTTGGTTTTCTGTGAGGCAAGTAGTATTACTCCGGTCGAGCCGGCCCATTCGTATCGAAGCATAGCTCTTCCACACTTAAGGTATAAAATATGATAGTTTTTCTTATGTTCATGAAGTGTAATGTGAGCAACCGATATTATTTAGCACAAGCACAAATGTTAATACAAATTCAACCTATAGTATAACTATACTTAGGTATATACTTGCATAACCTTTACGAAATATTCATCAATAAACTCGAAAAGTTTGGGATTTGAACATGGAGTAAGTCAATGCATAGCATAGCAGATACTTTTTCAAATGGCAGCGTGAAAGGCAATGGATTGCAAAGCTACTGACTCATTCCTGTCGAACTTCGAGTATTGCCAACTAAACTCATACTTCGTAAAGGTCACTTGCACCTTAAACTAATGAAACTGCACCTTATAACCTAGAAATAAGATGATAGATGCAAAATAATTGCTAATCAATAATTAGTTTTCGTTATCCCAAGCCTGTTAGCGTGGATGAATGACCATAATGAATAAATGCGAGTAACATAGTGTTAATGTTAGATACAAAATTAACAAACTGCGTACGTTTCGGAAGCCAGAGTTAGATAGCTCGCGTCTCCTTTACTCTATGCCTTCAAACGCTGGTGACAAAAGAAAATATATTTACTCCAGAGTCTCAACTTCACATCATATAGGTGATTCCAGTGAAGTTTTCTTCTTTTAAGCTAAATGTTGTATTAATGGTGACATGATATGATATTTTAATGTTTGTTACTCAATACAGTCGATCGTGTCTTAATAGACACGATCGACTGTATTGAGTCACTTGATGATTTCTTTGCAAAACGTTTGGTTTTCGCACCACTAGAGGCGCTAGTGTAGATTAAAGTCTATTAACAAATAGAATATTTGCCAAGTCAGTAGTCAGTCAATTTGTGATAGCTAAGCTTGTTAGTTGATAGCACTTAATATCACACTAGCGCCACCTCATGAGCGCAAAATCGAAAACCTTCATTTCACATATACATTATGAAAGTATTGCTTACTTAAAAAAACTGTATAGAGCAATCACTAACACAGTCATGAACTGAATAACCAAACAAAATAGAATAACAATATATAAAACATACCATTTTGCCCGTTTCGACCAATCTTTCGGCGTCCAGTGAAGACATTTTGGATCGATGCGCAGCGTCCTCTTTTCCATCGCCTTCTCGTGTTGCTGCAAGGTTTCCTATCACGATTAAAAACATATCAAATTCAAGAAAAATACATTCGCCAGTTATTAAATAAAATGATATATCACCTCGTTGACCGATATAATATATTGGCCTTTGTAGTAGTTTATAAGGTTCAAATTCTGTAGTGTACTTATAACGTCCTCCTTCTTTATGCTGGTTAGTTCGCAGATCTCGCTGAAAAATAGTTGGTGAACATTTAAGTGAATGTTTAAAGGACAGTAGGGAATAAATTGGTCAATTTATACTCTATTTCATTTGAAGTTACTAAAATTGTAGTGATGATAAAATTGTGTCAATATACACCTTTCAATCCCCGGAATGGTGATACATTTTCGCCAGACACCAGATACGAATCTCGTGTAATAGAGGTGAGATTGAAGATCTAGTAGTACTCTAGTACTAGAAGATCTATCTTTAGCTGCTCGTAACAACTCACACTGCTGCCCACCGTTAAGTCATAGGTAAACGTTTATCTAAGTTAAAATAAAATTGAATATTGAGGTCATGATATTTACGTTTGGATATCGCAGTTTTAAAAGGATCAGGATAACAGAATATTGCCTCATCTCCGCCAAACGCGTATTCCTTTAGGATTCGTTTTGTGTTTCGTCGTGTGAGGTTACCGGAGGCCCAATTACCCTCCCCTTCTCCCTTCCCCAATTTCCCCAATCCCTAAATCCCCAACGATCCTCAAACTCCTTATTCCCAAAAGGCCGGTAACGCACTTGTAACGCCTCTGGTGTTCCAGGTGTCCATGGGCGACGTCGATTGCATACCATCAGGTGATCCGTCTGCTAGTTTAGCGGCTTATGCCATAAAAAAAAGGTAGCGCTTATGATACTTTCGTGACGGCCAGCGTTACTGATACAATTATGTATTCTACTGAACCGTTTTGTACCGCACTGTCTACCGGAGCAATAATAATTAAAATGATATGGCTACTATTATTATTATTTTTAATGTTTTCTTAAGTAGTATTTAGAAATGTAATTTTAGAACGCTTTAATGTATGGAATATTAATATAATATGGTTCTTACTTGATAGTAATGATAGGTTTCTCGTTATCTCCGACTGGCTTGATGTGTGTAAGGATGTCCAGTATAGTCTGAGCCCAGTAACTCCTGTACGATAACAAACCAAGATCCGATAGAGGCTTCTCTGGCGATCCAGTCTTCCCTTCAAACTTTGACAATTCGTAACCTGAAAATATACGCGTAAGAAAAAAAAAATTACGATGGCGTTTCTATCGAAAGTAACAAGAATGACATTTATAATTAACTAGCTTTTACCCGCGTCTTCGCTCACGTCAAAATAATAAAAAGTAGCCTATGTGACTATCCATCCCTTCAACTACGTTCAGTTAAAAAATCACGTTAATTAGTACCTCCGTTCTGCCGTTTAAGACAGGCAAACAAACAAATAGCTTTCCGCTCGCGTGGAATTCGGTTACATCGCGCTATTTAGATTTTACCAATAAGTAGGTAATTCGTTGACTGGTTTTAAATGACACACAGCGCCATCTATACCAATACACACAGCGCCATTTATACCAATATTTTTGTTTTCCCTCGGAAATATTATACCCAATTATTTAATCCAGATTTCTAACTTTACGTCTGCATAATTTCAAAGCAGTCGGTTTAGTAGTTACGGCGTGAAAGCGGAACAAACAAACAAACAAACTCACTTTCCGATTTATAATATAAGTAAGGATTTAGAAATCGGAAAATAGGTCTTCAACAGAAATATAAAATAATTTAAGTAAGGATAATTTCGTACTAAAAAGACATATTAGGAAGTTTTTTCTAGTCTGAAGTAGACTTGTAGTACCTTTGGATTTGATACACATCATTTTTAACTCCAAAGCAAGTAAATGTAAAGTAGTACCAATACGTATTTAGTCTGTGTTGTAATCGAACCAAGATGTCTCACAAAAGCCGGTTTTTTAGCGACAGCGTCCATTATGACCATAGTAATGGCACTCCTGGTTCTATCAAATTTATCGCCCACATACTTCTATGTAGGTGCCAAATTTCTTCTATTATCATATTAGAAGCATGATTAAGTTACTTACTAAATTCTATAAGAAGTTTTCCATAACCTTTCCTTTGGTATGGCGGCAGTGTCAGTATACAAGCTACATTGTAGTCTTCTGTACTCTCCTTCTCTTTAGAAAAGTATCCTACTATGTGAAATCCTGGAATAAAGACATACATTTGATTTTAACTTCATATTAATTGATTCATATTTATTATTGTATTTGTTTACGCCCAATAAATAACATTAATAGCTTTTAAACAAATTACAACCTTATTGCTAAACCACCTCAATTACTTTTCTACCGTCAAAATCTGACAAGACATAAAACCGCTACCAATCAAAAACACACCCTACTCCTTGACATTTAAGTGCAAAATCCAAAAAAATACATACCTCGGGCATCAAATTCAGTCATAACGTAGAATAAAAATGGATCAGTATCGTAGTACAATGTCTTATGGTCCAAGAAGAGCTTGGCTAGTAAACAGAGATTCTGAGCGTAACATTTGTTCTTCCGTCCGTCTATCTCGAAAAATGATATGCTGCCTTTGCGGTATATTTCGTTGCCTGGAGGATGTTTTAGTTTGCATTTGATCTGAAAAAAAAAAATAAAAATATTACATTAACTTTAGTAAACATACTTTGGGTACATTATCAAACTTCAGAATAAAATTAGCCGGAAATCAATTCTCAGAAACTTTGTTCATTTAACCAATTATTTTTTTTAATGGTGGAAAATCGTTGAAGTACTCTAGTAGTCTCCTTCTTCCTGGGTGAGACGGACGGAAGGGAGTGTCAAACTCTAACTGACTAAAAACCACCCCGTTCTTAATCCAGCACCTCGAACCGGAGCCCCGGCAACCCGTTAAATCCTTCGTGGCTCCGTATCGGCATCAGCCTTATTGGGAACGCACGGAACGCGACGTGCCATACGCTTGATCACTGAGATCGTATTAGCGATCACAACCAACGAGATATATAGATAACTAAAGTTCTTTTCTACAAAATAATAATTATAAGGATAATGATAACTTACCAAATGTCTTTCAAGGCACTTTTTACTTTTTCTGTACTTCAAACAGAATTCACAGATGTAAATACAAGGCAGGTTAACCATTTCCTGAAAAATATAAATAATTAATTACATTAAGTAATTTTTATGCAGAGGCAGAACATAATAAGAATGAAATGCTTTTTTATCTGTGATTAGATCCTTATACGACACCCACTGGAAGAAAAGGAATGGTAAAAAAATATACTCTAATCTGGCATTTTACCACAAACCTATTCTAGAGACCACGATCGATTTATTTGATTATGATTATTTTGATTTGACTTTGATCATCTTAATTAATCAACCTATCAAGAATTTTAATTATATTTTATTTTCTGATTTCAATTTTATTTTGACCTTAGTTAATTTATTTTGATTGTAATACTTTCTATAATATAACTTTCGTGACACAGTAAATTAATTAGCTATTATGTTTTTCGGATTACTCACGTAATTATTTGACGAGGAACTTGTCATAATTGGAACTTAGCATTAAACCTAAACATCTTATTCACTTTATGATACGCAAATAAATTAATATGAATCGATCACAAATAGCTACACACCTGAGGATAAGGGGCGAAATACCACGGTCGTATCCGATTCCTTCCCAGTTCAATCATCTCGATGTTCTTCATACGTGTGACGAGGTCGTCGTGTCCATGCGCGACCATACTGCCCGACTGGCGCGGCCGAGCGGTCGGGGTGGCCGTACCACTCACCGTGGTCTCACTTCCCTCGTTCTCTATAGACGGAACAGGTTCCGCCTGAAACGTTTTAGAATTTTGCTTGGGTTCCTGTAAATAATTGCTTGTATTTTAGTATTGGGGTTTAGGTGTTCGGTTTTACCGTGTTTGTGGGCAGGTATTACCTGTTCAAGATAAAGGTAGATAAAGTTAATTTTACAGTCTTAGGGATAGTTTTTGGTATACGATGGGTATCTATTATTGAAATCTTATCAAATCTTAGTTACAACTCTTCATTTAGTATATAGAATAAAGCATAGTAAAATTAGGTAAAAGCATGAGAGGTTTAATGAAATCGTTAATCCATTTTAATAACTATCATATCTACTTAAAATAGATAAAATATCTACTTCGTTATGGATACAACAATCTTCATTGATTTCAATTTCTGATTTCGTAAAGTCCTCTGTTATAAAAGTGAGTTTAAAACATGACGCCACAATGTAATGCCCCTCACCATAACACACACATAGAAAAAGGATTTTTAAATTGAAAGCATACTTCATTGTCTATGGATGGCGCTTTCCGTTTCCTATTCATTTTCTTCTGCAAAGCAGCCGCAAGTACTGCGCCGCCATTGACGAGCGACGACGAGTCGTTGCCCAGTGTTGGGCTTGCTGGACGAGACACCAACTGACGCGGCTCACCGGCAACCACACCTTACACATTGAAGTTAGACAAAACAATGAGAAATTACAATAAAATATAGGTGAAAAAGTCCTCTATGCCGATCAAAATAAAGCTTACTTTTATATGCTCTATTTGGATACATAGGTCATCTTTAGAATGCAGCTTTAAATTAAATAATAAATAGGTATATATACTTACTAAGTCGGTTAACATATGGATATAGATATTTTGTAAGCATCACAAAGCAAGTAGGTATAATAAAAACAATGAATTAATCATCACCTTCCATGTTGTTGTTTAAAGACTATTAAGGTACAAGACGAATATTAACATAGCTAGGTACTGTAAGGATTAGGGACCAATAATCTTCAAATTTTAACAAACATGTGAATGATCCAGAATTCGCGAAACTCAACCTTATCACTATAAAGATTAGGTACTGTTTCAACAAAATAAATCCAACCACCATCTATTGCAAACATTGGACAGATGCTAAAGCCGGACAATCACTATTGAGGAGAATTTAACAGATACAAATAACTCGTCAATGTAATATCTGATTTTGAACCCTACATGCAGGTATATAAAGACGTAATAAGCTTGCAAAACTCATTGTATCACATTGATACCACCAATCGTCAAGAAGGCCCTTTCTAAAAGAAGATTTTAGCAATTATACTAGTGGAGCTGTCAGATAAACATTCACATGCTTGACTTTATATATACTATATACGTAATTATGATAACACACAATAGATACATATACAACAATACATAGTGTTAACGATGAAGGATTTCTGAGGCATAAATTAATGAATTGCATAAATAAATTCCATAAATAAATATTTCTCGTAAAATAAGTAATCTGTGGGAACTTGGGAAAGATAAGACGGAGGGAGCTTTTATATTAAACGAATATCGTATTTCTTTTAAGAACACATGCAACAAGATGCTCTTGTATGTTTCTAAATACGACTACCAGTAATACATTATTATAAAACGCTGTAAAACGCAAAGCACACAAACAAAATTGAATCATAAATTTCAACGTACCAAGTGCATTTTTTGGTGTAGAACCATTGAGTGCATTTAAATGGGCTTTTTCATGAACTTTAGGTTGGGGTAGACTTGGCGGAACTTGTTGGTTCGGAATAGTAGGTCTACTCGGTATCGTACTAGACTTCTGACTTTCATTGCAGACAGTGTCATCTGCAGAAAAAATGTTATTTTTAATGGCCAATTGTCACAATAATGATGAGTTTTAGTATTGTGATATTACGATGGTAAATTGTGATTATGAGAGGTTAGTCAGCGATCATAGTTTGTAGCTAACAATCATTTTCAAATTATACTGATTTATACTTTTCTAAAAATACTTAGAGACATTAGTCTGTTTTACAAAGCTATTTATTCAAAACTACACATTAAACATGCATGAAGTTTACTAACTATAGCGGCAACAAAAACAATCTACCATCATAAAGAAAATAATTTTGAAATTCAAAGCCAATTGCAGTCAAAAGGCTAGTAAATGTTGAGTTCATGATATATCACCATTACTCAAAATATTTTATTTTTTTGTTTTCATTCCTGTAAATATTTTGCCCAGAAACCCACAACAATCTGAAGATAATAAAAATTAATGAGTATAATAATGAAATGAAATAAAATGGCCATTAAATGTTTTCTAGATAACAACGAGCAAACACAAATTACTTTATAATTGTAAAATAATTTTTGAATCACTGTAGTTACCAAGTTTTTGAATGAAGTTATGAACATCCAATGTCTAATAAAGCAAAAACACATACTAATAAAATTAGGCATGACGCCACCTCCTGATCCGATGTGTGTCTTCTTTGGAGTGGTTGTTCCTCCAGTGGATACTCCATCTCTTCTTGGAAACTGTACCTTTCTCGTGTCCAACCAGGATTCACCCACCCACTCATCCAGACGTTTGTTAACTGGAATAGTGAATTAATGATCTTTTATCACCTATTTTTCCACATTTTTTTTTAACTAAATAAGACTAAATATGAGCCAGTTAAATTAAAACCTTATGAACTACTATTAATTCAGTGTCTAAAAGTCAGTTTATGTAGTTAATTAGGATATTCTTACTTTTACAGGACTTAAAAGCGAAGCAATGTTATCAGTAAATAAACATTCTGCTAAATAATGTTGTTTTCACATCAAACTTACTTGCTTAACTATCAAAGCACATTTAAATTGTTGTTATAAATAATTATCAAGTACAATTCACTAATATTTGTAGTTAGGGAGTACTATAACAAGAATTCTTATATTTAGATGACGGACCTGCCAATACACTGATGTAATATCTGAGCAAACACTTTGTTTACAACAATACTTACAGTCCACATAGTGCACGTAATATCCTCGTTGTCCGCGTATTTCTTTAATACTGATAATTTCAGCTAAAGGCCAGTCATCTCCTCCTTGCATACGCACAGGTAGGCGACATCCTTCGACAAGAGATGCCTACAAAAAACAACACAATAACAAGTGAAAAAAAATTACATTGTTCATACATTTTATTTTTTCAATGGATAAAAGAATTACCGCCGAATCACAAAATGTGGTCAGCTCATCTTCGTTGTCGTTCATTTTCTAGAAAAACATAAATATTTTTCAGGAATAATTAGCTTGTTTCTGCTATTCTGTCACACTGTCACTGTCACAATGAACAAAATGTCTGTTGCACAGATAACACATCCAATGACGCCATTGCTAGCGTTCCAGAGCTATTTTTTGCGCATCTTGAGCATAACATTTTAATTTATTAGAGTAAAAAGGTTTTATTACTTGAATTTATTTATAAATAAACAAAAATATTACTACAAGTAACAAGTACAAACAGCAATATTAAGAATATTCAGGATGAGGGTGTTTTCATACTAAAACTAAATTGTTCATAAATGTTACCAGCAGCAAAAAATACTAGCTGAAGCTATATGAGCATAAAAAAATATAAAAAACTTAATTACCTATGTAAATAATCACTGATTTTTTGTAATTTTTTTTAAGGGGGGGTAAATCATCGAATGACTTCTTCCGCCTGGCCGAGAAGGAAGCGAGTGTCAGACTCTTACTGACTAAAAACCACCCCGTTCCTTCTCCTGCACTTCGAGCCGGAACCCCGGTAACCCGTTAGGTTCTCTGCGACTCTTATATTGTTTACGACGGCAGTTTTAGTTTGAAAAGCCACATTAGACAAAACAGATAGAAGATATATCTATCTGTACCGGTCGGGTCGAGCGCCACACATGTTCAGGACAGGGTACTTTTGTAACCATATTTTCGTCAATAGTAAATATGTACCTATCTGTATTAAACATGTACACTACTTGCAGCGCAGATTTTTTATTCTCTAAGTATCTACTACCTGTACCTGTGCTTTAGTATTTTTGTTCATAGCAACAAGGAAGTTCCTTATTAGGTACTATTTACTTAAAAATGAAGCAGTTACCTACCTAATAGGTAGCAACTTAATAAATTTACATAGCATGTATAAGTTTTAAAACTTAGGGAAATAAAAAGCACAAAACAATCGTAAAATACTTTATTGAATTAGAAAATTAGATTTTTATTAGGTACGCAGGTACATTCGAAATTGCAAACATAATCGATTGTCATTCCATTAGAGACAGGGGAAACACACATTTTTTTAGTTATAATCATAATGCTTCGAAGTTGCAGCATCTTTTGCGAAATTCGCACCTCTTAGCACCCAGCCGTATCCAGGCTGCGGTCTTTGGTCTCCTATAGGCCGGTCGTCCGCCGACGCGAATTGTGCGAGGAACATACGACGTGGTTTGTCAGATAGGTTCTGCGTGCTGCCATGGACAAGAAAGTAGGAGAAAATGACGACATCTCCACGATCAGCAATAACGGGTGTAGCTTTTTCAATAGGGAACTTTTTCTGAAAAAATAACATATTATCGAACATAAACCCAAACACATAAAACGGGAAAAAAACGCAAAAAAAACTTGGAGGTTGAGTTGAAATCTATAATTTGAGGCATATTAATATGGGTTTTATAACTATCATCTACGTTCTCAGACTGATCTGCTCCTAAAGAGAGAAAAGAAAAACTAAAAATTAACTAACCTGATCAACAAAATGGAAGTTGCCCTGAAGTTTTCCGACATCTTCTAGAGGTCCAAGTTTGTGAGAGCCAGGGTATACAAGTAATCCTCCATTTTCAGGAGTCGCTGGGTCCAAGTGGATAAATACTGCCACCATGGAATCCTTCTCGTAGGGAAAGTAGGGGTAATCCTAGAATGGAATGGAAATGCTTAAAAATTTCTTAAAGTGTTTTTTGCCAAGTTTTGAAACCACAATATTAGTTTTATGACTAGGTACTGGACCTGGTTATACGTCGAGATTTACATAACCAGTCTAAGCTGAACGTTAAATATGTGGAAAGATGATGCGACGCGACACCAGGATAAATTGGTTTTGATAGATTGATGTGTGGCCTTGTGTACCTGGACGTTAAAAAGCCCTAGCAGTACCTTCCAACCTAACTTCTGACAAAGACTTTTAGCAATTAAGTACCTACAGATCTAAAATAACTACCTATTTGTGGCTTCCAGTATCTACATCAGGTCAAATTTGCAATAGGACACAATAACAATTATTTAGTGTGGCAATGGTTTTCAAAAAATTGTTACCTGATGCATAGGGTAGGAAGCCCCTTTCTCTGGTGGTTTGTAGTGTGCTTTGGTGTGATGCAGCATGATGTTTTCTGTCTCCATCACATCCTCCAGTGCGTCCAATATATTATCATTGTACAGTAGCTTTCCAAACACAGAGTGATGATGTTGCAGATTGTGGACTCCTTTTACCTGAGATGTAAAACAAATCTTAGAAAGTTAGCTTTCTTCGTCATAACAAGGAGTCGTATCTCATTGGTGTTCGTAGCCAGTAAATGAGAATTGTGTAATGGCTTGTCTCTTAGGCACCCTCAAGGATATTGAAAAATAAGGTGCACGTGTGGCAAAGTGTGGGAAAGCCATGCTTCGGCACGAATTGGCCGGCTCGACTGGAGTGATACCACGGCCTCACAGAAAACCGACGTTAACGGTTGCGTTGTGTTTCGTCGTGTGAGTGAGGTTACCGGAGGCCCAATTACCTTCCCCTTTTCCAATCTCCCCAATCCCTGAATCCCCAACGATCCTCAAACTCCTAATCCCCAAAAAGCCGGTAACGCACTTGTAACGCCTCTGGAGTTCCAGGTGTCCATGGGCGATGCCGATTGCTTAACATCAGGTGATCCGTCTGCTCGTTTACCGGTTAATGCCATAAAAAAAACGTAATGTCACTTAGAAATGATTGAAGACAAAATATCAGTGGTGTATTGTACAATACCGTAATGTATGAAGTGTAATGATGACGGACCATGTCACACGACAGATGTCCTTCGTGTCGTGATGTGTATGTATTCTGCGCGTAAGTCTATAGTAGCCAGGTGCCACAGTCGTTGTATCAAGAGACTATCTCTCCCTTTTTTTAAACGTTAACTTATTTGAATATCATCTTTCACTAGTGGGCGAAAAGTAGGCGAAGCAAAGTGGCCTTCAATTTTATATTAGAACAGTAACCTTTCCCTTTTGACTCTGTGTGTCCAAACTACTCCAAACAGATATGCATACATTGTACGGACAGCGTAGGTACCTATTAGATATCTATTTGCAGCTATTAATCACATGGATAAATCTACCGTAAGTAGTTATGTAGGTACCTACGTAGACGTTTCTAATTGAATCTTAAGTAATTTTTCATTGATAAAGTAAATGATATAAATTTTAAAATAATACCTTATGTAATATTTTATTGATGAGATCAAATTCACTGAGATTGTAGATATATTACAATTTAATTAAGGTATTTTGCTGTTTATGTTTGGATTGCAATCAATTTTATGATGTTTATTAATCTGTAACCGATAGTAGCGTTGTTCTTAGTTATTTAACATCGGAAGACATTGGCTTTCGTCACTAAATCACTTATCATCATTATACGAAATAAGTGATTACATAAATACAACTCAAGTAGGTATAATTAAGATAATGGACTTGGCAAAAAAATAACTTTAATGCCTAATCTTAAGTATAGGTACTATTTCTGTGTTTTCCTAATGTAAGCACAGATGTAGACACAATTTAAAATGCAATTTTTATATTATAAATATTGTTTAATTTAAGAATTTTCTCAGAGAAGGAACCACCAGTAAAATAAATTATTATCATCAACAGATTGTGAGGGTTAACAAATGAATAGGGTTAACATAACCATTAACCATTGCGAAATGAAGGTACCTACTGATAAAACAGTAGGCACTGAGCAACTCTCAATAGATCGGTTCTTGATATTTGAGTTTTAAAGAAATTATTACCTACTTAACTGTTTACTTACTGTGTAAGGACTGTCACTTTTCCTGTTATCTTCGTTCTTCCCAACCCAAGAGTTCTCCATCTGTTCCAGATTCTTCCTCTTAAATAATTTGTCATATTCATCTATAACTCGCGACAATTCTTCTTCTGAAATTAGATTTTTGAGTAAAATGTAACCGTTATCTTTGTAAAATTTCTTCTGTTCAGGAGTAAGGCGACCCATGGTGACTCGTGCAGTGTATCGAGGTAGACTGACAAATAAAATGCCCACGGGATCATAATATTACTTCATCGACACCAACACACGTAAACAAGGAGCGATAAATGACCTAGACCCAAGCAAAGGTTACGATGATAGATAGATAACCATGGTATAAATATTTATTATCAAATGAGATAATTCAATTAAAATAAATATGGAATTATTTTTCGTGAATGTTATGGAAATTGTGATATATTTTGATCTTTATAATGGTAGGTTAAATGCCTATGATACATATTTCACATATTTATAACTGTGTTACGTGTGGGAGAGCCATGCTTCGGCACAAATGGGCCGGCTCGACCGGAGTGATACCACGGCATCACAGCCGACGACGACGTGAAACAACGTTCGCGTTGTGTTTGGTCTTGTAAGTGACGTTACTGAGACGCTACGTTTGAGGATTTTTAGTACTAAGTTAGGTATCTGATCATTTACCATCAGGTGAACCCTCTACTAATAAGGAACCTGTACTTTAAAAATAAATCCCTACCTAAGTGCTAAGACAACACGAGGAATATCCTCGTCGAGATAAAAAAAGAACAACTAGGTATGCAGGATACAATATTAGTAGCAGACATAAATATCAATAAAGTAATCTGTAGCCAAGGTGAAGTAGCGAGTATTAACAGCAATGAAACCATTGAAGGTAATACAGAAAATACTTGTCATTAATTTTATAATCAGGCCATCTGATATGCATAGGCGCACCTATCGTTAATGTACATACATACGTAACACAATCGGTTACGTAATTTTGATATTAAATTAGGCATTATATAATTACATTGGACCACCTATAGGGGCTATAGGTACTTAACCTGTGGCACACCGGGCCTTTTTGGTTTTACTCATCCGTACCTAACTTTTTGAGGGAGACTAATCATCAAACGGCTTGCTCCGCTTTGAGTAAGGCAAAAGAGAGAATCAGCCTCTTTTGACTTAATCCACCACGTTCTTACTCCTAGTTCGAGCCGGCCCTGGCAACTCGTAGACCCAGTGTTCATGCGTAGATTTGCATTCTTAAACGGAGAAAATATTTTTGTATCGTTAGAAATTGAAATACCTTTATGATCTTGAATGAATGATTTTGTTTATCGGTATAGGATGATGAAGTCTAATGAATCATCGTAGAAAACTTGTTCATACTTAGTTTAAGTACATCTTATGACTTATTATTCTATGAATTATGTAGGTACTATCTATTAGCCGAGAGGTGTTGTTGAAAGTGTAATCAGTGACCTACCATCATAAAGGTCAACTCAGGTCAAGTATCATAAAAACTATAACATTGTTCAAAAATATTCCATATATTATTTATTTATACAATAAAACGTTTTACGTAAAACATTAAACACTACCTAGCTTTTGCCCGCGACTTTGTACGCACTTAAACATACTTACATAGATTTGGATTTACTCCCTCGTTGGCCGAGTGGTTGCAAGTTCGACTGCCAGTCAAGGGGTCTCGGGTTCGATTTTATTATATCTGTGGGTCCGATCCTCGTACGAGCAATATGTTACTGAGTTTTAAAAAAAAAATCTCAGTAGCAGCACGAAGTCTGGAATTGTGCCCGGTAGGTACATGGCAATAGGCTCACCCCCTATTACACGGGACTCATAACATAAATAGTGAAAAGTGGGTGTTAAATTGTACAGTATCATTAAGTGCCGTAATGTGCACCTTTGCCAACCCTCTTCAGGGACAAAAAAGGTGTGATGTTATGTTATTATGTAGATTTGGATTTATCCGTACTCGAAGGGACTTGGGTATTTTTTTTCTAATTGGGCCGTCGTAGACGTTTCATTTCATGAGAATGTGGTTGTTACAATAACTTAGTAAAGAAAGAACATCACACTATTATTTATAAATGTGAAAGTTTCTTTGTTTGGATGTTTGTCCATCAATCACACTGAAACTACAGAACGGATTTTGATGAAATTTGATATACAGGCAGGCTGACTTAGGTGATAGGATACTTTTTGTCCCAATTAAATGCTGATAAAACATTAATCGTATTAAAACAGCTAGTTGAACATAATTTTATTAGTATGTAATAATATATTATGTATAGAGATATATACAGATAGTATCTATGTATACAAATATATTCCATGGTTATCATTGACTCTTTTGATCTTTGATATTAAAATTAAATTAGCATATTATCACAATTAGGTACATTGAATTTTTATGAAAAACAATAATAAAATATAGAGTGTAAATGTAGAGGTCCACAATCCACATGTATATTACTTGCTCACTTTTTGATAGTTTGATACTTATATGTTATTAGTCCCATATACATGATATAGGACACGGTAACCGCTTACCATCAGGTGGGCCGTGTGCTTTTTTGCTACCGTCGTCGTGGTAGAAAAAAAAACACTATTAGTACTGAAGATTACATATGTTATTTATTTTTTATTTATTTATTTATTTATGTACACACATTCAACACAGAGGACAACACATATATAAAAACAGAGTACATAGGCCCCACATATTCCAACTGGAATCTCTTCCTGTGGGCCTGTGGCAGGAAAAGATATAACAACACTGAGACACATAGTGTGTTACACAAACAATAAAAATAATAAACAATATAATAATAACGAAAAAACCGATAGAAATAACAATAATAAACAATAAAACAAACTAATACAATGCTATTATACAAAAAGAAATAAAAAACAAAATAACCTTTATATAAATATATATTTACATCCCGCTATCGATTGGACGTCCCATGAAGGCAAAAGTGCATTTAATCTGGCGTCCACCTGCTTTTGGCGTCCGCATACCGGACGCCACTTTTTTGGTCTATGCTACTTAGGTCCTTTTGGTCCTGGCTACACGTAGGTGAAAAATCGACAGAGGCCAAAAGATCGGTTCAATGGATGTTATAGTATTTTGAAAAGTTCCCAAAGAAATCTCAGCGCGGCTAGAGCGCTGCTGTAGCGCGTATATCCACAGCTGTATATTTTTGGGATTTTCTGACTATAATTCCGCCTATTTGGCGTCCTCAAAAAAAATAACAGCGACGTTGCCAGTTCGCTAATTAAATCTGTCTCAATAGATCATAATATTATCTACCGCATTCGAAACAATATTCACCGTCGTAGATTCGGATGTGTTGCGTATTATTTGGAGTCCGATTTTATTCAATTAGATTTATTTACATTTTAATACATGTCAGTGCAACTTACGACAACTTATCTGCAATCCTGTTCTCAATTTGTACATGAGTACCTATCACTGATTTATAACAGATGAGGGTATAAATTAACTACTTAATGGGATCTTAGAAATAAGTACTAAAGTGATAAAATTATATGTCTTATCACAAAAAAAGGTTAACCAGAGTTTAACTCGTATAGTATAGTTTCCGTATAAATTTTGACGTAATTTTATTAACTTTATCTATTTTTGTGGTTAGAAGGTGCATATAACACTGAAT